GACATCAGAATCTCGGAAAGAGTAAGCAACAAGAACCCGCCTAAGAGCAGCATGACCTTCAGGAGTGTCTAACCAGGGATGACCAGGAAAGGTTCGTGGGAGGTCCTGCAAGTAAAATACACACAGATGAGAATTGAGATGGCAACATATGGTGGTAACAAATTGTTGCTAAAATGTTTTTCTTTTTTCCCAAAAATTGTTGGTAAAATGTAATCTCAAAATCTTCTACATTCCACTTCAAGCTTGTTAAAAAGCTACTAAATAATCCTTGTTAAAAAGTACAAACCTTATGCAGGATTAGAAAAATAGCAAATGGGACATGCTCTGCGACTAATGAAAAGAGCATTTGCCAAAAAAAAAATTCAAAACTACTGCACATGAAAGCACTGAATCCTTGAAAGCCGTAATAAACAAATGATTCTTGTTAAACAACAACAAGAAACCAGTTTAATCACATAAGTGGGGTCTGGGGGGAGAGTAATGTGTACGCAGACCTTATCCCTACCCTATAAAGGTAGAGAGGTTGTTTCCGATAGACAATCGGCTCAAATGATTCATGGTATATTCAGAAATAACCGAATCCTAAAGATTGATCAACATAGTAAATTTCCAGTTTTCCACTTTGACTCAACAGACACATTAAGCATAGCTCCATAAGAAGTTTAAAGGTTACAATCCATAGCCTTTTTTCCTTTTCTTTGTTCTTTTTTTTTAAGGTGTTTAATTGGTTAAAAGAATGAATCAGCATAACTGCTATAAGTCCCAACTAAAGCTATTAGTTAAAGGAAAGAAAATTTTTGCACCTCAGCTTACACCCCATTACTCAAATTCCCTAGCTACATACCAGTCGTAATTACTCAAAATCGTCAAATCGGATACTGGCAAGATCTCCCTTCCCCTTAACTTTAGCTAATACCACAAAGAAATGCCGAACCATCTCTGAGCAATTAGGGTTGCAGCAAGTTAATCGCGGCACCATGAATTTTCCATTTCACAATACTTTACACTAGAAGATTTTTCCCCCATACATTAGAAGCTTTTAAACCACTTAAAATTGCTGTATAATAGTATTTTTAAATTCTCTAAATTAGCATATATGCATCTTCAAATCTATCACAAGATTTTAGAAGTCCCAAAACTTTGCCATGTGACGCAACATTTCGATAAAAAGTTCCTCTCATCTAACATTAAAAAAAAAAACAGTTTTTTCCCCTGATCAGTTCACACATCTAACATTCATCAATGTCCTCCGCCCCAAAAAAGCAACATCCTAATTAATACTTCAACACATCCTAGTATTTCTATCTCTAACAAAATGACAAAAGTTTGCATTTACACCACATATTACCACCAAAATATAGGTGTTAAACGCATCCAACACGTTGTCAAAGTCAAACCACAAACATTTCTAATACCAAATAGCACACAAACAAATGCAGCCAAACAAACCAAATATATCCTCTTAATATCAACAAGGGATAAAGGTAAAATTTTGAGCAAGAAACTCACATGATCAATCTGCTTGGTGGCAGGTGTGACCTTATCCTCAACAGCCATGATCAAATCTTGGTAATAACTTTCAGGAACAGTGGATTTCTTCTTAGCTGCACCTGATAGTGAAAACCACACCTTAGGCCTTAACACAGGTGGGATTCCTTTCCTAATTAGCTTCTTCAGAGTAATTGCATTAACCAAAGTAGACAATTTAAGGGATGTTTTTAGGGTTGATGTAACTTGTGTTTGCAAATACCAATTTGCACCTTTGCTAGCTTCTAATGCCCACCATACCTTACCCTGTTCCCTAACTTTTTCCCTAACCTCATTTAACACATTAACATCATCAACATTTCCTTCTACTGAAAACCCATATAGATCTTGGAATTTCACAGTTATATTTGCCCTTCTAGCATGAATACTTGGCCTCAAAATGTGAACTTGAGATTGGTATTCAAAGGCCAAATCTTTTCTACTTTGGGTTCCATACATTTTTGTGGGGAGTTCAAAGATTAATCAAAAGGGTATGGGAAAATTGATGCAAGAACACAATTGGTCAACTTTTCAGACAAAATGAGAAAATCCAAGGGCTTTATAGAAATGGGTATCTGAGAATTTAGAGAAATCCCATTTTTGGAGCATCAGATTCTTGAAAAGAAACTGATTAAAAAAGGCAAATTTTGAAGCTTTGTACAGAAAGATTATGAATTAACATATGGATAAGGAAACTAAGCCTTAAAGAACAGAGGAGAGGAAAAAAATCAGATCTTTTTAGAGTTGAACACCCACAAAAATAAAGAAGAAGAAACTTATTAGGAACTTTGGATGATTGAAGGGGAGGATTCAAATGCAAAGAAAAAACACCCTTTCTTTGTAATCTTTATATTTGAGTGAATCAAAGATTTTTCAAATATGAGGAAATTTTGAAAAGAAAAGATTTGGTGGCCTTAAAGTAATAGAAGGAGAAGAAAAAGATAATTATTTAATACTTAGGGGTTGTTTGGTGAGAAACAAGTTATTCAGGGTAATAATCTCAGGATTTATTATCCCAAAATTAGTTATTCCTAAAATATTATATCATTCTCTCATAAGAATAAAAATAACACTATAACCTCGAGATAATTAATTTCAAAATTAATTATATCATGATTTTATCCCGACAAAATATGAGATAAATTCATATCAAATTTAATTTTAAAATTAATTATTTATTATCTCTCGTACCAAACAAGACCCGAGAAAATTAATTTGTTGCGACGTTATTACATTGAGAAGGTTTGTGGGGTGCCATGATGTTTAATGATTAATAATTTATAGAGACAAGGTTTATTGTTTGCTTGGAGCCACTTACGCAAAGGGAACATTATTTATTAATTTTTTCTGCATCTTCAGTGTATCCAAAAATATTTATTATTATTCTACCCACAGAAAAGAGAGCAAAACAAAAAGTGGCAGGCACACTCCGTACTTGCTGGTTCTACAAACGTGACACCTCCTAGATATGGAAAATAAATAAATCTACAATTTATGACTATTCCAACCATAGTTCTATAGGAATAAAAATAAAGAAATTGCAACCTATAACATACTACTAGATATTACTCCAGTTAAGAAATTTATTTTAAAATTCTTTCTTATCTTAACATATCAATTTAGCCAATAAAATAAATCCAAATACACTTAAATAATAGTGTTTGTAATGTTGCTTCAACCAAAATCAACTCAAGACTCTCCCATAAGTGCAATTAATCCTCTTTATGTTTTGATTCATTAATAAATAGTCAAAAATATTTTAACCACATGTATTATTATCTTTCACTTTTTCTTGAGTGAATGAACAAAAAAAGGTTCATTTCTTTTAGTTCTCAATCATTTGAACAGAGAAATCTGATTTTTTATTTTACAACATTTAGCTACATGAAATAAATACATGCAAAATAGATGTAAGATTGTACCGTACAAGATGGGGCCATTACTCGTCAGTGTATATCATATTTCATTATTAAGAAAGACAAATCCAAAGAGATATCCAGACTTTGATTAATGTGTCCCCACCTACCTAATTTAAAGTCATCCTAAAACATCATAACGTAATAATGCAATTATAGAGCTAGGACAGCTTTTGGGGGAAAATTTAAAAAAAAAAATTCTAAAAGAAAATATGTGTAATGTTATTGTTTTAAGAAAGTATTTATCTTTTTCTCAAAAAAGTATGTCAGGGCAAATATTTTCCTGAAGAGATGCAAAACGAACACCCTTTACTTTTTCAAGTACAAGAGATAAAACGTAAATTCCAAGATGGAGGGGAAGATTTTAGTTTGTGCCTTACACAACTGGCACAATTGTACGAGGGGCTGCTATGTTTGATAAATGGAATTTATGAAATTCAAAAGTTTACATATCCAAATTATTGTTTCACAAATTCTACTTGTCAAATATAAGCAACCATAATTGTGTGAGACTCAAAGTAAAATTACTCGAGATTATAAAACGGAATTCACGATTATATATATACTTAATCTCAACTTGTTTAAGACAAAAATGCAATTGTAAAAGAACATGATGTACAAATAGCACTACGGGGCCATTTGATGCGTCCAACTTGATTTAACCAGTTCATTTTAATAAAAGCATAAATTGCTCTATCCCGATTAACAAATCCTAACTTATCGCTACTCTTTTTGCATCAACAGGGGAAGAGCTTACCGACTTCAAAGTTTCTGCTTCCTCCGGTTCACTTTAAGTAGTTTTTTGATCGTTTTTTGTGGTCCACAATATTTTATTTGTTCAGATATCGAAGAAGGAATTAACCTATTCTTTCCAAAGTTGCCTTTGGAGTAACGAACAGATATCGAAGAAGGAATTAACCTATTCTTTCCAAAGTTGCCTTTGGAGTAACGAGCCTAGAAGTAATTTGTTATATTTTTAATGAGCAAATTAAGGTTAATATGGTCAATTTTATTGTTAATTAATGCTAAAAAATGAACTCCTTAATATGTGTGTTAAGAGCCAAAAAAATCACTTAAAGTGAACCAGAGGTGTATTTTTTATTTCATATTAAAAAATCACCGGCATATAATATCATAAGTGTAGAGATGTAACATTCTACCTAAACTCTTAACCATACTGGCGCCTTTTATTTTAGAGAAATTTTCAAAAAATTCCTTTATTTTATTAGTAGATATGAACTTGTGCCAAGTCGCCTGTGAAGTCGTGTTTAAGAGTAGTAAATAGCAGTCTCTTATATAGGCACAAGGCCATTGTTTTTCTTTTTCCTCTTGGTTAAATAAATGCTAAGTGACATAAATTTTCTGGTACTGGTTTTAAACAAATTAAAAGACATCACATTTGATAAAAACTGTCCAGCTATTATTTTCTGTCCTGCATTCATGCAAACATTAGATTCAATCTCAACTTATAGATCTCACGCGTTTAATAGCAAACAGAAGTTTGACAAATCTTCTTTCAAACCATAGTGCTAGACTGCTAGCCACAACGTTGGCTCAAAATAAAGCCAAAAACAGAACTTACTTTTTTATAAGGTAATGTGTCCACCAATGTAGTCACAAGACAACAATAACTACGCATCAATCCCAATCTAGCTCGGAATTATAAAATCTCTATTATCCGTGTCTCTCCATCTAAACCCATCTCAATCCAATATTTGAAAAAAATAGGTTCTCTAGCACTAGAAGTTCAATACATTTTCTGCTTGGTTCTCAAGACACATCTAAGGAAAAACCAACAGAACTACAATAATGATAATAAATTAAAAAAATCAAAGAAATCAGAATGAAACTGGAGCTTCAAGGCAAGAAAGAGTTGGCTAAAACGTTTACTTTAAGCAAGCTATAGCCCTCAAAACCCCCATTCTTTCTTCCACTTACTCGCACCTGTATTTGATTATTGGGATGGGGCGGGACGGCTTTTGTTTACCTCACCTGGTCAACCATAGTTTTAAAGCCTAACAAAACTCTTGTTCCAGCTGGGCTTTCTGGCTAATTATATCAGTATCAGGTGGTTGAAGTAAAAAGCAAGCAAGAATTCGTTCCTCCAAAGCCAAATGAGTTTGATAAAGCAGCTTTAATGGCCATCTCCTTTGAAGTAGTCAAAGGCATGAAACCGCCATTAAAAACTGGATCTGGTTCAGAAAGGTTCAGCGTCAAAGGCGCGATGCCCTGCAAATAAACATCAAAGCAGTTAGCGGCTCATTCATGAAATAGAAAATATTAGAGTTACCTCATCAAGTCTAGAAAGAAGCATAACGCTGGCAATAGTTAATGCATGTATCTACTGCCTTGACCTTTATCCCAATTTAACTAGCACTTTTGTCATCTAGATATATCTCAGAGGTAAAGATGCAACAAGTTTATTTGATTTACAATATAATAACCAAAGATCACATCCTGATCGTTTCTCTGTCCTGTAGACACTTGCCAGCGGAACCTTTATTAAAAGTAATTCTCATGTTTGACAATCATGAAATACATTCGTTTTCTCACTTTTTCTTTTTGAAATGACCTTCAGTTTATTTCTATCGGTATCACTTTTCTTGTTAAATATAACATGGATGCTGAACATGAAGGCATTAAAAGGAAACAATTCGGTAAAACCAGGAAAGAGTCAGCACAAGTACAGATATCGCCTGCCCATCACAATCGTGTCAACTCATTCTACAATTTGTTAACTTGTCCACTTTGCTAAGCTTAGGGTAAGGTGATCATTCAGCTGAAGACTCTTCTCATAAGATGCTCATTGTGATGCCCTAATGGACTTTCTATTACAACTCCTAATAAACAACATCGGGGAGCAACCAGTACATTTGACATTTACCCAAGAAAAAGAAGAGTACATTTCACATAGGTCAATGACCTGTTTGAATTCCAACTCCACATTGAAGTGCTTAAAATGTGGTTGTAGTCAAATGACCAAAGAAGATCATAATTCCACAGTTTTATCTTCTGTCTAGTAGCAAGAACAACATAATTGCATCAAATTCCAAAAGTTCCCAAGCCAAGAAAGGAAGGTCTTGTTAAAAAGCCTTCTAATAAACATTCAACAGTATAAGTGTATAACATGCAATGGACTGAACAGAAGTGTTTCAGGAAATTACAAACCAAATATACTTAAGTTATCAGACATTATCCAGCAGAAATATAGATATTGTACAGACTACTAATGTAAGACCAGATACAAAAAGATCTTCATGGGATGAATATCCAAAATAAAATGAAATTCAGGCATGTACCAGCAGATATTTGATCGAGTGTGAAGATCGTCAAATGTTAAGGCTCATGTGATTAGGTCTTGTGAAATATAAATGAAAGCATCATCTTACATGGTGTATTGCCAAGACAGTAAAAATTGCTTCAACAGCTCCAGCGGCTCCAAGAAGATGGCCGATGGCACCCTGATGTTTTGGGTAAAAGTTCAGCAGAGTTCACAGAGAAGGAGAAAAAATACATCTCGCAATGTCAAAATTGCATATAACTTGCTAATTTATGACAAAAAGGATAATATGCCAGTATCCACTAATAACCACAAAGTAAATGCAGAAAAATTCAACAAGATGATAGTACGCTGAAAGCACAAGAATGGTTGTTTTCTGATGCAGAACCAAAGTCTCCTTCAGCTCTGGCACATAGGAGAACTGGGACTTCTTATTATACTCTACTAATCAGAGTTCGAACTTGGTTGAACACCCCAATTATGATTACCTTCGTAGAGGACAAGGACAGAGCCCCTGATGTAGCATGATCGGAGAAGACATGTTTTATTGCATTGGCTTCTGCTGCATCACCTGAGCAAGATATTTCAGCAACACATAAAAAAAGTCAAATTTCTGTTTGCCATGAGGGCAAAAATTTTGAATCATTACAGAGCACCTTCACATTTCCAAAATCATTACCAAGGGGTGTAGATGTAGCATGAGCATTTATGTAATCCACTTGACTAGGATGAAGACCAGACTGCCCAGGACATGAAGAAAAGAAAGAAGCGTTAGGTAAAAATCATCTACATATTGAATGTGATAAATTAGAACATCAACTCTCTGATAAATTAGAAGGCCAGAAGGTCTCTCCTCTAAGTTGCATGAATAACAGAAAAGTCTGATCAACTTTCTGAAACTGTATACAACACTATAAGTTTCTGAGTTTCAACCATATCCTCCATTCAGGATTGATAGGTCAAGTATGTTCATGTCACAAAAGATATTAAAATTCTGTAACTCCTTTACCTGTCAAACAAGTGATATCTCACAATGAAAAGCACAATGCTCAACCAACTACAAGAAGTAAAAGGAGCAAAGCGTTCTTTTATCTACTTATAAGGATGCTGAATGTGAAGGCAAACAGAAGCAAGTTGTTTAAAACTAGGAAAGAGTCAGCATAAACAGTGGCGGAGGCAGGATTACTGCCAAGGGGGTTCAAAAAAAAGGAAAAAGTTAAAAAGGTTGTAGCTAGTGGGAATAGAACCAATGACCTTACAAAGGTTTTAAACCCCCTTGACCACTAAGCTATGCTTTTGGGTTGTGTCAAGGGGATTGAAAACATAATATATAGAGGTAAAAAATAGATTTTGCCTTACATATACAGTGTAATTTTTCGGCGACGGGGGTTCGGGTGAACACCCTTCCGCCCCCCTAAATCCGCCACTAAGCATAAGCACCGATTTCTCTTGCATTCCACCACTCCAGTGTCAGGTGGTCATTCAGCTGCTGACCTCTTCAATTACGATGCTCACTGTAATGCCCTGGTGGACTGTTTGCTTACAACAACACCTAATTTACAACATCACCAGTACATTTGACCTTTACCCAGGAAAAAAAAGTGCACTTGAGATAGGTGAGGAATACACTTGTAACAATCACTTACTTCCTTTTCTTTCTCTTCATTGTACTTGACCCAAATAAATCTCATGCAAGAGAGAATCTAAAGGCTGATATAGTTACTCCCTCGATTAGAATTCATGTGAAACAGTTTAACTAACACAGAAGTTAAGTTGTTAATTTGACATGTAAGTGTTACAAGTGGCAGCAAAAGTATTTTTTCTTTTTTTTGTTTTGATAAAGTATGATGATTCATTGATTGGCATCAAGAAGATGCAGAGATTACAAAGCGAACATGCTACCTCCAAATACAGGATAATATAATACGTCTGGGAGCTAGCCAAAAAGATCCAAATCTAGTGAGATCACTATTAGTCTAGAGTGAGGGAGCTCATAAAATCTAAAAAGACAGTAGAATTATTTACAAAGGTCTGCTTGGACCACAAAAAAAAAAGTTTATTACCACAGCAAAAGTATATTACCACAGCTAATAAAGAGTTGATTTAATGTAGGAACACTGTAATGATGTAAAATTCAATTGCTTAATGAATTTGAATTCTTGAAACATGTGAAAGTTTTATAGAATGTCTCAGTCTATTTGCTACAACTACTTTCGGCTACTGAATATTTTGTATGTACATCTGCTATTGATGCAGGAGCATATAAAACCCTTGGCTTATTCCACGCAAAAGCAATTGACTATGTTTGGCAACTACTCAAATCGAGATACACTGGGAGCAACCTCAACCCTATTTAGTAATCCTAGTCTTCCAATAAGAGAGGAGCATTTTCATATATTTGTTTATGTTGATTTTGTCATGGATAGATGAGAATAGAGAATTGCTGTGGACAACTAGGAAATTGGTAGTGGCCATGCTGAATACTTATAGTACGGAAGAACTATGGAAGATGAGAAAGAAAGGAATCTGTCCTTTCAACTGCCTAACTGTTATAATCTTTGAACAAAAGATGCAGAAAGAGGTTAAAGCATTGTCTACAGAAACCGAGAAACTCAAAGAATGAATGTTAATCTGATTTTAAGAACTAGAGGAGATATTTGTACGTCATGCATAACGGCAAACTCGGGGGCAGTTCAAAGTCATTTACCCTGATTTTGAACACATAATTGATTATAATTTAGTGGGACCTAAGAAATGACGGGGGTCAACATAAACATCACCTGCTTCAAAGCACGTGTCATAGCTAAAACTGCACCTCTTCCACCAATATTTGGTTGTGTAATGTGATGTGCATCACCTAAGCAAAATAAATAGGTAATATACAATTACAAGCTGAAGCATAATGAAGGGATGAATGAAAGGAGATCAGATTTAAATGTGAATATAACCAAAACTAACCTGATGTTCCATAGCCACGCAGCTCTGCGTATATTTTTGCTCCTCGTTTTCTTGCATGCTCCAGTTCCTTGGGACATCACACCACATGTAAGATGAGATTATAGCCGAAATGATGCTGACGAGCAAAACTAGTAAACAGAATGAGGGAGTGGATTAACTCAGTGATCTATATATCAGTGACGATAGAAAGATCAAACTGAATAGCCAAAGAGGTTTTTCACGGTTATAACTTCAGGGTGGGGCAACAACCCAACTACTGTATTGTGAGGGGACAACCCTCTCCTCCTTACTATCTGAAATTTTGAACAGCCAAACTCACCTCTAACACCATGACACCAGAACCCTCACCTATCCTGCACTTCAAAATGAGGATGAAATACAAAGGTGAGTCGCAATGAGTTTAGATATAAGGATGCACATTAATATTACTTACACAAATCCATCACGACCACAATCAAATGGCCTGGAGGCTTCCTGTGGTGTTGAATTATACTTGGTAGTCAATGCTCTTAACCTAAACCAAAAACGGAAATATATACATCAAAAAGATAAATAAAACACAGAGATGATGTGCCAGGGGTTTTAAATAAAGAGCCACACATCCGTAATCAAAGTGGGCCTTAATAGACGACGAGGTTTGTAAATACATAGGATATAATACCATAGACCAACATTTTAGGTGTACCTACAAAATCCAGCAATAGATAAAGCATCAATGCTGGCTTCTGTCCCGCCTGCAACCATCACATCTGCATCTCCAAATTGAATCATCCTGGCAGCATCACCAACTGAATGAGCTCCAGTGGCACAAGCTGTCACTGCAGCATGGTTTGGTCCCTATTCAAATTCAAGAATAAAATAGGCATTATTCTTTAGCACGTTGTGTGTACACTTAGATCTAGCACCAAGAAAAAGGCAATGAGGTTCAGTCAGTTGCATAACCCTTTAAATTTATGCATAAGCAACAAAAAGTTACCCCAAAAATGCAGATCGCTAAAGTAGCTACTAAAACCGAAGCATGCATGTCATGCTGCAGTGACAGCTTGTGCCACAAGATCGCACTTGAATACCATTAATTAGGAAACTGGATGCAAAAAAGAGATAAGTGTCCCTTGTCAACAGATACACAACAGCATTCTCATGATTTATCCTACATAATTTTGCAAGTTTCAAGATATCAAATTCATCAAACAAATCAAAACTAACCTTTAATGTGACATTTCAATCAACCTTACTTTTCGACAACATCTATAGTATTTTTTACTACAAAGAATAAAACACAGAAGTTCATTAACTTTGTGCTTCTTTTCTTTGTAGACCACATTTTTCTGTTATCTCTATTATCAGTTGAGATTAAAATAGTCACATAACAGTTGGTCCAAGCATAGAGCAATAAGATGGAAAACAATAAACTAGATCTGAATTCCTGATCATCAAGCTTCTCAAATACTTTGGATATAAAAAACTTCCATACATTTCTACAAGACGAATTACTACTACATACATACCTGAAATCCATACTTCATGCTTACATGACCAGAAGCCATGTTAATCAATATCCGTGGAATGAAAAATGGACTAAGCCGTCGTACATTCTGGTATCAGAAAGTAGATTGTCAGTAGTAATTGCACCACTTCGGTATATTTATGGCTCACTTCCAGTAATTTAGTGCTAAGCTACCACTAGGAAATGACAACATAGGAATACATTCATTTCCTTGTTTGATGGGGATAGCCTCATATTTCACCATCGCTCAACAAGATAAAGCGATTAACCAACCTTTTCGCAGATCATTCTTGATGCTTCCAATATGTCACTGATACTTCCAGTTCCAGCACCTAAGGAGACTCCCTGATGTAGTTCCTCTTAGACACCAATGAAAATCAAAAAGGATTGACATTCTGACATCAAGACAATAATAGGTTATACCGTCTGTTCCTTCTCATCCTGCTCAGTAGGCATCCAATTAGCATCTTTAAGAGCTTCATCTGCAGCACACAGTGCATATCCTATAAATCTTGCGATTGATCTATGCTCCTGGAAAAGATAGATATCACAGGGCAATTATGGGACCATAGTGAGGTCTTATACAAAAGAAGCTTTAGGAGAAAACTGTTATTGCTAATAGTGCCAACATAGGGTAATATATCACAAATCTTAGCACCATCACTTCATTTGTATGTTTCCCACCGTAGAAAAATGTTATCTCAAAGGATTTTTCTTTTCCATCTACAACCATTGGTATTTCCTAATATACCAACTACCAAAAAAGAATAATGACTACTGTTGATGCTCAATGTAAGCAATGCATCACTAAAATATATAATGTGCCACGCAGATTCATCAATTCCTACTAGTGATACTAAAATGCTCTATCTATGATAAAAAGTAAGGGCAAGTGGGCAACAGCATTTAATTGAATGTATCCTTTTTATAAATCTTTTATATAGTGACACAAAAGTAATTTCAGAATCTACTTGTAATATGCTGCGACAATTTTAATTTTGTGTCACGTGTTCGTCTTCCAAGCAAAAGATGCTCCAAATAAGACACATATTATCTGAAAAGGCTGATCTAAAACATGTCATGTATCACATGTAAGTTGTAAAAGAGTTCCGAAAAAAATTTATGACGAACGAGATATTTTGTTGAATTGATGAAGTGGGTTGAGAAACTAACAAAGCTATGATAGCAGAGATCTCTAGGAGTACGGGTGATAGGAAGGGGTGAGCCACAAGGTATGGGGCAAGATAGAGGAAGTGGACGAGCTAAAGGTTTCGAGGAATAATGAGTTTATAACAAGTGGCATTTTACATTTTCAGTAGAAGAATTTGTTCTATGACATTTCTATACAATCAACTATGATTAATATAGTGTGATTGAAGGTTAGGAGGTACCTTAGTGTTTAGCCACAGCTGCTCGTCGAATTCACCTGAATTAGAACCACAGGGCACAATTGCAGCAACTTTGGAAGTCAATTGATCAAATGTATACGACTTAACTTCTGGGTCAAAACCATTCATCTTCAAATCATCAGGGGATATTGCTCTTACACCGCATTCCCCTTCTATTAGCCTCTTCCATGTGGCTTCCACACCACATCCCAGGGGAGTCACCATCCCTAGACCTGAAACAAAACCACCAACCAAAACACTCAGGGTTTATAACCACCTGCAGACTACCACCTGTAAGTCTGCAGAATCATCATAGAAACTTTTGTTTCAGCATCCACAAATTCCACACAATCAGATTAAAAATATAAAATGGAAAGCTAAACCATATGGCTAGAGATGATATTACTTTGAGGATATCCAAGAATATGCTATCTAGACACAGCATGCTTATTCTGCCACTCGGCTGTTCTAATCGTAGTACGTAACATATTTGACACCCGTGTATAATTCTAATCTGTACTGAAACAAACGAGTAGTTAAAAAAAAACAGTTTTTTTCTAAACCACATAGCAATTCTAAAGTTATGGTTCATGTCCGAAGTTTCTAATTGATCGATTTAACTTTAACTGGTTATAATAGATTATTTACATTGTTTTCTAGATTACTTAACCAGACTTACTAAAGACAGTTACTTGCAAGTCAGCGGTGTTTAAAACGAACTTTTGTACAAGACAACAAAAACTTCAATTAAAACCCATTTTGTTGATTTGAATTTATTGAAATTAAACCAATTTTGAAGTCAAAATGAAGCGAAAAGGAGAAACCTGCAATCTTATACACGTAACCGAGTAAAAGAAAGAGTTGAGGAATAGGGTTTTTTTGTAAGAATACCAGTAACAACAACTCTGCGAAGAGGGGAAGCAGGAGGAGGAGGGGCAAAGGAAGTGAATGAGCTGAACCGATGGAAGTGAAGTCGGCGAGGGATGAGTTGTAGCCATTTTCTTCCCCTCATTGCTTCTCCCAAACTTAGCTCCTTTGCTAATGGACTGCTATTTACTTCCCGCTCTATTCCTCCTACTCTCTCACTTTACACTTTTCTACTTTTCTTGACTTACATTTATTTTGCTTTTTTGCTTATATAGAAAAGCTTTTATATATTTAAAAATATTTAGTTTTTAATTTTTTTTCTGCAATATTTTCATCATTAACTTTTTTACTCTTGTATTTTTGAAACTTATTTAAATTTTTTTATCTTGAGCCGAGAATCGATCGAAAATAACTTATATACCTCACATAAGATAGTGGTAAGATATACATTTTACCTGTATGGGCCAAAATTACCCTAGTTAAGTTAGAGCTAAATCAAAATTAGGAGCACCATTGACATGCGTTCGACAAATGACGAAGGTAAGGTCGAGGAGTCAACATAGACCGAGGTCGAGGACGAGCATTCTCATTAAATAGAGGATAATGACTAGTTTTAGGGATACGATTTTAAAGAGAATATCCCAGTGGATATTCTTGAAATCTGTACTACTAGGGTTTATGGCACATATTGTGATGACCCAATAGGTCATCTTGAGTTGTAAACCCCTTAATTTTATGTTACGAAGCCTCCAATAGCTTCTTTAAGCCTTTTTCGATTTGCGTGCGCAGTCCTGGTATTTTTCCGGAAGGCTTTTATGTTAAAAATTGATCAAATATGAAATTTTGCCTTAAAGATCCATTTGAGTTGACTTCGGTCAATGTTTTGAGCATACGGACCCGGATTCGTATTTTAACGGTGTCGCTGGGTCCATATCGTGATTTGGGACCTGGGCGTATGCCCGGAATCGAATTCGGAGGTCCTTAACTCGAGTTATCGCTTTGTATCGAAAATTTGATGTTTAAAAGTTTAAAGAGTTTAAAATTTTGACCAAGGTTTGACTTTATTGCTACGAGCCCGGATTTTTGGTTCCGGAGCTTGGTATATGTTCATTACTATATTTGCGACTTGTCTGCAAAAAAATTGGTGAAAAACAGAGTTGGTTTGATGTGATTCGGACGTCCGGTTGTTAAAGTAGCAATTCATTGAAAGTTTCATTTGATTTGGTGTCTGATTCGTAGTTGTAGGTGTTATTTTGGTATTTTGACCGCGTGAGCGAGTTCGAATGATATTTTTGGGCTTGTGTACATGCTTGGTTTGGAGCCCCAAGGGCTCGAGTGAGTTTCGGATAGGCTACGGAGTGGATTTGGACTAAGGATCATAGTTGAAGCCTTTGTGCTTCAGGTGTCTGCTGCAGACTTCGCTATTGCGAGGTCTCGCAAATGCGAGCCTCGCATTTGTGAAGAAGACTTCGCATTTACGAGCATGGGCTAGGGGTGGACTTTCGCATTTGCGAGATCTGGGGTAGCATTTGCGATCCCCTCAGGTTCGCATTTGCGAACATATTGTTCGTATTTGCGAAGGCAACAAGAATGTGAATACTTCGCATTTGCGAAGGTTTATTCGCAATTGCGACATATGCGCCTGATCAAAATCTGAGTTAGACGGGATTTTCCTTATTCTTTCAAATTTCCAACCTTAGAAACCTTAGAGGCGATTTTTCCATGAACTCTTCTCCCTAATTCGTTGATTTGGTTGGTTTAAAGGCTTGTTCGAAAGGCAAGGCCGTGGTTGAGCTTTGAGTCTATTTTAGAGCGAGGTAAGCTTTGAGTTTAACCTTGATTTGAGGGAATTAGGAACCCTCAGACTATGTGTTATGTGAATTTCATGTGTTGCGGTGTATATGCAAGGTGAGGAGTGCTTATACGCCGCGGGATACTTGTTTCCCTGATTTTCCGCTTTTCCTTAATTATTTTCTTCCATGCCTTAACTGTTGTGTGCTTTAAATGTCTTCTATGCTTTATTTGCTACTTGTTAGTCATTGTTCCTCGTGTTAAAAATGTTAGACCTTTCCATGTTTTCATGACTCGCTGCTATTTGCCCTAATTGACCTACTTGCACCTTTTAATTGTCATTTACTAGACTTGTCCTGCCGTGTAATATTACATATTGAATTCCCAAGTTAGTACAAGGTTTCCTTTCTGATTCTGCTTCATATTCATCAGTCGTAGAGATTCTTGTGATTTGAGTTATTGATTTGTTTGTGCTCATTGAGTATTTGGTACTGATATAGTGGGATCGGGTTGCACGCCTCAACAGGTGAAATAAGGGCAAATTGATATAGTGGAATAAGGGTGAATTTGTACCGATATGGTGGGATCGGGTTGCACGCCGCAACAGGTGAAATAAGAGTGGATTGATATGGTGGAATAAGGGTGAATTTGTACTAATATGGTGGGATCGGGTTGCACGCCGCAACAGGGGGAATAAGGGTAGATTGATATGGTGAAATAAGGGTGAGTTGTGATACTGATTTTGTTATATGGTAGGATCGGGTTGCACACCACAACATATACTTATTTATGATTGTTGATATTGTTACGGTGGAATAAGGGAGGATTGTGTTGTATGGTGGGATCGGGTTGCGCACCTCAACAATCAATGTGTTTCTATTTCCTTGAGCTGTGTTGGTTTTCGGTAGTTTCCATATGAAACTGAGGATTGGTAATTCTGATCATACTGTTTTTTCTTCGAGGATTTAGCTATTATCTTCAGTTAACTGCTTTATTTCGCTCTATATTTTCCTTTCCTATTTTATTCTGCGTACAGGTTATAGTGTAAGCGGCCTGCCTTAGCCTCGTCACTACTTCGTCGAGGTTAGGCTCGGCACTTACAGAGTACATGGGGTCGATTGTACTCATACTACACTCTGCACTTCTTGTGCAGATTTTAGAGTCGGCCTAGCGGTGGTTATTAGCATGCTCAGGTTGGCTAGTTTGCGGAGACTTGAGGTACAATTGTTCAGTGTCCGCAGCTCCTAGAGTCCCCTTTTTTTTTATTAGTTGTGTATTTTCCCTCAGACAGCTTATGTTTTATACAAACCCTTATTTGTACTATTCTAGTAGCTCGTGCACTTGTGGCACCGGGTCCAGGGTTGTATCAGATATTTGAGTTGTCATGGCTTCCGCATTTTCACTTTAGATTATTACAATTCTTTCAATTCTTTATTATCATTTAATTTGAACTGTTGAAAATGGATAAATTGTTCAAACGTTGGCTTGCCGAGCAAGTGAAATGTTAGGCGCCATCACGGTTCCGACGGTGAAAATTTCGGGTCGTGACACATATCCCCTTATAAATAGAAATAGACATAGTTATACAGGGAGATTGGACACTCATTTGTAAAAGAACAACACTTTTGACATTCTCTAAAGATTATTGCTTTATTATATACATACAAAAGATACATTTTCTTGAGATTCTAATCTAACTTTTCTCCCATGATCCAAGGAGAATCCGAATATTCAAAGGTTCATCAATCATTTATCATTGTTAGAGGGAATACCATACGATTTCGTCTTTTTTCGGTCATCTCTCTTGCATTTATTTACGATAATACCATTACATACCATTTATTGCTATTTAATGCTATTCACTTTGTATTTGGGTCATTAAATATTGTTTGTTGTTACTTATTAACTGTTGTTCCTTCAAGTCATAGGACGTTTTTGTATTGGTGGAAAAAAGACATTACACGTGGAATGTTAGTATGTTGACGAAGCATGACACGTGGAGCAACGGTATGGCGACAAGTGGCATTCTCAATTAAAAGAATTAAGAATGCAAAGAAGGCACGGGCACGAGACAATTGTCAAAGAAGAGGCAAAAACGGAATGAATAAGGATCAAAAGGAAGGAAAGATACACGAATTAGAAGTAATTAAGGAAGGGGAATTGGAACAGTTATAAGGCATTTATAACTGTAAATATTCCAGTTACGGTTATTTATGGTAATGGGCAATCAATACAATTAATGCCCATAATAAATTCAAATTAAGTGAGAAAGCCGTTATGATTGTACATTCCTATATATGGATACAGAATTTTATTTGTAAGGACAAGTTCCAAGTTCTACTGAAATACATTATATAATTCTCTGCTTTATCAAAGTTTTCAACCTTGATTTTAGGGATTGGTTATCGATTTACCCTTATTTCTCTTTGCTAATTTTCTCTATAATTTTTACTATTTTATAAATAGCTTGTTGCGAAAGTGAAGTAAACTTGGTTATCAGTAACCTGTTTTCTTCTAAATATAAGCTTTGACTAAAAATCTAATTTTTGGTTAAACAATTTGGTTCCGTTACCGGGAAACTGATAATCTTTTCACTTTCCAAATTCTTTTTTCTGACAACCAACTATGTCAACTGTTAACGATGATAACCAGCTGAACCCACAAGAGGGAGCAACTCCACCACTCCTCTCTCCACAAGGATCTCTTCAACAGTCCCGTGATGGGTCACCTGAAAGATCTGCGTCACACGTGAATGATCCACAAGGGGACGAACAAACTGTCGACAAGACGCTCTAAAGCAATTGATTGTGGAACACGTGAACAGTGCTCTTCAAGCCTTTGTTAGAGGATTGCCAACTGCGCCACTAACTCCTCCACCAGTCAATACCACAACCCTAGAAAACCCACGCTCGGGGCTCGACAATTCTGGAAGTGGAGGAACTCCCAATGAATCTCGTGATGGAAGGTTAGGTACACCAAATAATTCTGATTTATAAAGTTTGATACTAACTTTGTAGAAATAATTGAAATAGCAAAATGATCGCATAGAGCAAATACCTGGCGTATCGCCCGTAATTAAAGGGGTAGATATTGATAAAATACTCACAACAACCCTGGAAACCAAGTGCAACACCTTTGCCGATTCCTAAAAAGTTTAAAATGCCCGACATTCCAAAATATGATGGAAGAACTGACCCTCGAGATCACGTAATTGCGTTCACAACTGGCGTGAAGGGCAATGATTTAACCAAGCAGGAAATCGAATCAGTTTGGTTAAAAAATTTGGTGAAACGCTCACGAAAGGAGCATTAACGTGGTATTCTCTTTTACCCAAAAACTCTATTTATTCTTTTGCTGAGCTTGGAGATTCATTCATAAAAGCGCATTCGGGAGCTCAGAAAGTTGAAAAGAGGATGGAAGACATCTTTAAGGTAA